GTCATTTTTTCTAAATCGGAGGCGAAAAAGCCTAAATTCTGCTTGTAATTCTCAATTTTCTCAATCAAAACTCAACTTCTATGTAATAGAAATATCATATTTGGAATCAGGATCAAAAACTGAATCGACTGATATACATCTCTGTCCCATACGAGAACTTTAAATTTTCTCAATTTTTCACGTTCATCGAAATTTTCGCCAAAAATGAAAATGAACTAAAAATTTCGAAACACACATCAGTCGACTCAGTTTTTGATCCTGATTCCAAATATGATATTTCTATTACATAGAAGTTGAGTTTTGATTGAGAAAATTGAGAATTACAAGCAGAATTTAGGCTTTTTCGCCTCCGATTTAGAAAAAATGACTTTTTTCTCAATAATGAAAAGGAATTTTAGAAAAGCGGTTTATAATTTTATTCTACGTTTCAAGGCGAATCGAATGGCGTATGAAAGCTGACTTCGTCTCTTAACGAAAAAAAGTAGATAGGTTAGCAAAATGAGTATGGTAAAATTGAAGATCCCTCGGCTTCGTTTGTCGCTCGAAGACTTCTTTTCGTTCTGGAACCTTGAAATATAGTTTCTTGCATGCAGTTTTTAATGCTGAATAAGAAAAACATAGTTTCATGGCTTCAAAATGAGGTGGAAGCAAGTTATTTAGTTGTGGTTTTTTCAGTTTGAAATATAGTTTTCTGTATGCACAAAAGTGATATTGGTCATCAGCAGAGCTGATCGATTACATATAATCCGACGAAGTTTGTTTCGATATTTGAGAAAAAATCTCTGTATTCTTTGGATTGGAGGACCATAGGTGAAAAGAAATTCTCCTGTTAGTTTTTTGTAATAAATTCTGACTATACAGCTTTGATGGGATTTTTTGCTGATTACGTTTATATATAAATTTTTGATAAAATCTTGTGATGAAAAATATTATTATCGCTACTTCGCGTCTCTGGGATTTTATTACTATCCGAATATCTTTAGATTTAGTAAATTACGCAGTGAGTAAATAGAAGACTGGCGAAGGTGGCAGAAATCACCCATAAATTGTTAACTAGAAATGGAGAAAAGAGTTATGAACAGAAAAATTTTTTAATTTAAAATTATTTTCATACCAGAAAGCATACGTATGTCATTATTTCAAGGACATCTGATTTTCTCGCGTCCTTAAACACGCGTTATTTTTTCTTCTCTCTTTATGCATCGTCACTTGTAGCTGTAAATATTGAAAATAAAACAAGGTCGTATTATCTTATTATCTAGTACATATTTTCTAAATTATTATTTTCTGTTTTGAAAAACAAGCATACGTATATACATAAATAAACAGTGCTTTTAAAAAAAAAGATCAAATTTCTATGGCTTTTCCTCTCACATAAAGAATACTAGAACGAACAATCATTTACATTCTATTATGCTTTTTTATTTAATAAATTGTCCTAATTTCAAAGCTAGTAATTAGCTTTTTGAGTAAAATTTTTCAAGAAACGCCTTGTTACTTCATAGTGTTAATTTAATCTTGCAACTCCTAGAGAAAACAAGTCCATTTTCCACCATGATCCTCCAAATTCTATAATATATTTTTGAGTAAAAAAATTTGCAATTGTTTCTTAAGCAAATATATGAACTACAGTGTCTTTATTTTGTTGATATGACACTATTTTTTGAACTTTCATTATCTTTATTACTATCATCGTTGTTACTTCTCGTTTGTGGTTGTTTTGTTGAACTTTGCGACGAATTTTTTGAATTTGTACGAGAACGTTTTTCTTCTTCATTTTGTTGATGAAATTGATTATCATGATCTTTACGATTTAATGGAGTACCTTGAGAACGGCGAGTTTGATGGTGTGTTTTTTCTGATCGATGATGACGTCCTTTTTTGAGGCGAGACGCATCAGATGCAATATGGGATGAAGAAATGCTTAATGCCAAGTTAGAACCATGCTGTTTATGACTTTTTCGGGGTGATGATAATAAAGAGGATAATTTAGATGAACCAAAATAATTTTTTAAACGCTGACGATCGCGTTCGCTTTTGCATATTTCACAATCATATTCGTTGTCCACAGTAGAATGTTTTCGTCGTTTATATAGCTTATTTCGCCGATATTTTGAAAACTGAAAACTAGGTATTCGTTTTTTTCTTGCCGACACATTCGGCATCCATCCCGAATCTGATATTAAGATTCCTTTCTGTGGCAATGGTATTGTGGGCTCAGAACGGTTGTTATTCGTTTTAGTAGATGTTAATGTAGAATATGTAGGAAAACTTTGACGAGAACGATTATACATGTTTTGATTTTTTGCTTTGCTTGGCGTTATACCCTTTCTGTTACGGCTAGAAGTACCCAAAGTCGATAGACTGAAAGCTAATTGTTGTGCTTCTCGACTGCTGTCTATATTATAAATTGGTAAATTGTGTGCGCCTGGCTTTTTTTGTTCTGATAGAAGTCTTTGTTGTTGAGATGGGGCAGCTGACGATACTAGCGGTTGACCATAACCAGAAAAAACACCAGAAGCACCTGCCGGCATCAATGGAGTAATAGGTGGCGCAGATAAAACATTATTGAAAGGAAGTGAAGGCATTGGCTGTCCTGCTGGTATCATTGATGACGGCATTGAAAATCCACCCTGTGGAAATCCACCCTGTCCCAGCATGACAGGTGGGGCAATGTTGGTAACTGCACGCGGAATAGGCACAGGCTTTATATGAGGAATTTCAACTGGCTGAGCATATGGTACTGGATATGGTTGAGGAACCATTACAGGACGAGGATAACTCAAGACGGGAGGGGGTAAACAGCAACAAGGGTAACAACCACCACACGCATTATAAGAGCCAAAGGGTGACGATAAAAATGGATTTGGTGTACCGAATGGTACCGACATGACCATCCCCACATTGCTTGGAAAGTCCAAGGCAGGAGGACGATACGGCATCGGTCCAGCCGACAAAGCTGACATGAATTGCATAGGATTCCACATTTGAACGGGGGACATAGAGGGCGTAGGATAAACACCTTGAACTATAGGATTGAACGCAATCGGTAATGGGGTGGCAGCCATCATAAACGGTGAACTGCCCATACCGCAATTAATTCCTCCCGAAAATCCCATACCCGAAAATCCCATACTACCACCACCCATCATTGGAAACCCTCCGAAACCTAAAAAGCTGTAAATGATTATCGTTACTCGTTTTAAAGGTTAACTGATATTCATGCAAATAAAAAAACAAATTACAAAACTTACTTGACATCATTCCACCAAATGGCATACCTATAAGGTTAAATTCATTATTTTCCGATCATCGAGTTTCTGAAATTTTTTATTTATATTCAAACACTTTATGGTATCTTTAATACTTACCCCCATTCATCATTGGCATGCCTGAAAACGAACAAAGCATCAGTTACAACCATTTTTAGTATGATATTAATTTGTCATATCTCTGACATAAATAGATGTCTGAAACATAAACTGTAAATGCACATCTAATAAAATCTCAAAGTAACAAACTGTATGCTACTTTTTTCTTGATTCATCAAATTGTACTTATTTGTTCATTTTATGAATACTCTATGTTGTCAAATCATTGAAAATAAATAGTTAAATTATTTACCCATCATTGAATTACCACCAAATGGAAACATTCCCATTCCAGCTCCACTTTGTAAATATTTGCCCACTTTTTTCATCATAAATGGCATCATTTGCATTGTGGTATTGCCCATAAAGTAATTTCCATAATTCCACGGTGAATTTGGTTGCATTTGATTGAAACCTTAGAAAAAGGCATTTAAATTAAAACTGTTGATTATTGAGTGAATTAAGACTAACCATGTGGATACATTTGATCAAACCATTGTCCTCTTCTACCCCTTCCAAGATCACCGTAACTGGTCACTGAACGGGTATACGGAACAGACAGAGGACCACGTCCATAAGGATCGTTGGCATACGGATCGTAACCATACTGGTCGATTGCATAAGGATCGTACCCGTAAGGTCCTTCTGCGCCATAACCGCCTAATCCGCTTGGATCGTATGGGTAACCAGGAGGTCCTGGAGGATAACCAGGAGGTCCTGGAGGATAACCAGGAGGTCCTGGAGGATAACCAGGGGGTCCTGGAGGATAACCAGGAGGTCCTGGAGGATAACCTGGAGGATAACCAGGTGGAGGAAAACCTGGGTATTGATTGGGATCGTAAAACTGCCCGTATGGATCTGCACCGTACAAATCAAAGTTAGTCTGTCCTGTTGGTTTTTTATTCCGTCCAAATAAACTTCCCATAATTCAATTACAAAATGTTTTGTAAATATTCTGAAATTTTTAGATCATAATTTGTTCGAAAATAATTTATATTAACGGTAGTGGAATACATGTTGTTGTAAAATATTATTGTCTTTTTTTGTGGTTTTTAGAATTTTTTTCCGTCGTTCTCACGTTTTCTTTTTAGTATTGTCGCTTACACTACCCGAATATGTGTAGAGTATTTTTTTGCTCTCAGACGGCTACTAACCACCTTTTTAAAGGCTACCTACCTGTCGCTTTTTTTCCTTGCTTTCTCAATATAAATGGCGACCTTCATTTTGTTATCATTGTCGCTTCATGGCTAAATATTACTCGAATACGTCTCACATAGAGAAATATCATGGGTACAATTAGTCCTTCGTTCATTTGGCATTGATTTTCAAACCAATACACGGATAATGAACATACAGTTTAATTCTCAATTGTTTTGTATGTTTTATTGAATAAAATCAATTAGCTCTATATTATATCTATATTGAAATATTTGAAATATTTGAATTACAAGATTAGATAATTTAATTAGTCCTCAAATTTGTGTAGCTTTTTAGCAAACAGTTTTAAAAATATAAGCAACTATATTTTTCAACCGAATTCTAGCCAAAAAACTGAAATTCTTATAATTACAGAATTAATAGGATACCACAACATGTTGATGTTTTCCTATCTAACAATTCAATAACTATCTTTTAACATTTATCAAGCAAAAAGAATTTTATTTATAACTACTACATGCTCCCAACACTCTTCTCTCTCTATCTGTTGAAATATTATCATTCTCAAACTTTAATATAAAATCGCCGTGTCATCCCTAATTTGTGCTTTTCTTATCAACATTTCATTTGGATGTTCTTTTCTAACAAAAGTTGGTTGAAGTGAGTTTATATCTGAAAAATAAAATCGTACAGGATTATTTGATGTACGACAACTTTGTGAATAATTAATTGCATGATGAGTGCGAGTATTTAATGGCTGTTTTGTTCGAAGAATAGAATCGTTTTCGTTCATAGAATGAAACTTCGATTGTTGAGAGCTAATTTGATAATTGTTTCTTTGTGCAAATACTGATGGACGAATAAGAGAGTTCGTTGATTGTGGTGTTGATGATAGTTGAGCGGTATAAGGATCTATCACTTTTGAAGTGAGTAGATTTCGTGGTTGTAGTGGTCGATAGTAATGACCATCAGTATTTGATATGGCAGTTAATACAGTAGACGAGGATGTATACAAATGATCAGTACTTCGACCAAAGTCGTTCATACTGAAAAAAGAAACAGTTAAAGATTATTGTTCTTGATAAAGTAGTTGTCTTTATCAATGATAGATGAATCTCATAAATAATTTATTGACCATGAGCAGAAGGCTGTTTTATGCAATTTACTCGAATAGTAAATGAAGAATCGAGGGAATACATATGTCCGACACATTATTCAAATATTTAATCATACTATTTCTGAGGAAAAGTGAATATTATTTGTCATGCACATTATGTCTATAAAGACCACAAATTACATCAAAGTCTGTAGGTGAGGTAGAAAAGAAAAGCGTGAAAAGAATTTGAGTTCGTAAAAAAAGCTTTCTCGTCAATGGAAAAAATTCTGGTTGATACATACCGAGGGTGTTGTATAGATGAATTAGGTGTAGATGGGATCATTATTGCGGTTGTGAATGATGATGAAGTCAGTACAGGACTTGTTAACCTTATTGGTTGTTCTTCCGAATGTTGTTGCGGATTTTGTTCATAATGCCATGATTTAGCTGTTAGTGTTGTTTCACTCTGTAATAATTTTTCTAAATTTTTTACATTTGTATTAAAAAGATGAGGGTAATTTTCAACATTACTAGTTGATGATTGATTTTTCGCTAACATTTTCTTAGCTTTTTTGTTATTAGTCTGTTTCGTTTTTGAACGTAAACGAAATGGTAGTGACGGTAGTGATGTTTTTGAAACTGTTGAGTCAGACAATGGTGATGACGAATTCATTCGATTACGGTAATGCCGACTAATACACCATAATATAACGAGAATAATGCAAGAGAGGGAAATGAAGCTAATTACACCACAAATAACATACAAAACAATTTTATCAGTATTATCCATAATTTAGAGGAAAAAAAGGTCAACATGTGACATCAATGATGCAATATTAAACGTTTAGACAGATCTAAAATGAGATAAATATTGATTTTTACGTAACGCGTAGCTATCACCATTTAACAGTCAGTTTTCAATAGATGCAGAGTTTGCTCATGCAATCTCTGAACTTTAGCTTTTATGGTATATGGCAGCTATAATATAAATATGAAAATAGAAGATCTAATGGACTAATTCTTAAAACAGTAGGGTATACATTAAACTTTTGCAGCAGTCGAAACAAGCGAGAGAGTAGTGTGAAATTTCGGATAAAAGTATTGAAGTTTGTCTGAGTTATAATATTATTGCTAATGGGTGTCGATCAGGTAAATTGGATTATTAAATCAAGAGTTTATGTGTTCGAATGTCTATTTGTATAAAAATGATTTTGTTTTTGGTAAGTTTAAGTTGTAATATACTAGAATGAATTTATTTCGCTTATATATTCTGGAAGATAAAATTTACATCAGCCATGTCTAACTTTATGTATATCTATAATAAAAGCGCTTTGTTTGCTAAGAGAGAAAAGCAGTTTTCTCCAAAGATGACTGTCCATTTTAGCGTACCATCTGATAAATGTTTAATGTATACCCTACCTTTTTAAGAATTAGTCCATTAGATTAGTCCTTCTATTTTCATATTTATATTATACCTGCCATATGCCATAAAAGCTAAAGTTCAGAGATTATATGAGAACAAACTGCTCCGTATCTATCAGAAGTTAACTCTGACGAGATTAGTAGAACACTCAACTATGATCTTCTTTCATATTTGAAAACATTAACAGCTAGATGTCAACATCGAATTAGGATAAACACTTATCTTACGTACTCAAATAATAACGTTTCTTCTTGGCTTACTTCAGTAGTTGTGCTCAAGAATGAATTAGGCATTTATGTTTTATGTATATAAGTTACATAAGAAATAGAAAAAAATAAACAGAGAGAGGCTAATGTCTTTTTTATTTCTTATTTCTTAGATAAAGTGATAATTAAAGTGATGGAATGGAATTACTCTCTGCTGTGTTGTATAATCCATGTACTCTAATTTATAGATAAACTATTTTCTTCTCTGCAGAAAAAAGCTGAACAAAAATGAAGGTTAATAAATGTCTGCAATACACAAGTAGACATCTAACATCATATATCATAGTGACATATGAATAGCTAGGTAAGTATAATGTGAATATGTACACATTTGAAAATCTAATATATACTAAAAAATTGTACATATATACATACAAACACAATAGTTCAGACATCAAAAACATAGAAAAGTATAGTTGTGAGCGTGACACAAAAAGACTGAAGAGAAGAAAAAAAAGTCAAAAGACGCGTCATGAGATCGGAATTGTTTGAATAGAAGCGTAATAATAATATAATAATAATAACAATAATAATAATAATCATAGTGTGTTTAAAGCTGGACAAAGGGAAAAAGGAAAAACCGTGTAAAAAGACATCAAAATTCTGTTACTTAGTGTATACTTTTAAATTTGAAGAATATAAGCTGAAGAGTTAAAAAGTTCAATTTAGAGCTAAATGTCAAACACCAAACAGATGCACTATTTGAACGCAGTAAACTCCTAAACAAGAAGTCTTTTTTGTGTTATACTCTTGTTACAGTTCATTATAATTTAAGGTAAAAATTTCATAAACGAAAATTTAGACTTTAAAGATTTCGCATTATAAATATTTTTGCATGTAACAAGTAATAAGAGTACAACAGATCCTTTTAAATAATTTTTTTATAATAGAACAAACTAGAATTTTTTATACGTAGATGCAAAGATAAATAGATTTACCGAGAAAAAAACTGAAATTTCATACATACATTTCATACTGAATATTGTCATTTAAATGAGTCGAAGAAAAATTTATGCTAATTTATAATATTAAAATAACCTAAAAACAAAACTTAACTTTTTTCTACTTAAAGAACTGACGATATAATAAATAAAACAACAAAACACAAAAAAAAAGATTATAATATGTTCTACATCCATTTTTTCTCAAATTATCTTCCATTGTTTATGCTTACGTTTGTTTGTATTTGAATATACTACAAACATATAAATTTATCGAAAGCTTTTTCTCTTCAACAGATCAATATTCAACATAAATCAAAACCTTTTTCATTTTTAGAAAAACGATAAATTTGGCTTCTATTTTCTTGTTTCATTATTCTTTTCCTCTTCTTTTCACAACTGTGCAATGCTACTGAATTAATTTTATTTTGCTTTCAAGAGTAAAGGTTATTTGACTCTCATCAGCATTCCTATTACTTTCATTTGACCTTATCGTTCAAATTATAAAAAAGTTTTCTGTTACTTCTCAATCAATATTTTATTCTCCAATTATGCTAAATAGTGTCAACAAAGGATATCTTAGAAATTACTTACAGGTGTTATATGTAGCTCGTCTTTTTTCAATAGATTACTGCGTCAAAAATGATGGATCTTTTTACCGTGACAAGTGACTTCACATCATCGGACTGTCTTTTATCGATCTACATCCCAGGTCGAGGACTCACGACCGTATACTACAATATACGTTAAATTACGACGAAATACGTCAGTCGTAAACGTTGACAGATACGACGATATGTAAACGATAAATTACGATGTAGTCACGTCAGTCGTAAACGATCGTTTACGACAAGTCAAAATTTTCAAAAAAAAATCAAAACGTAACAAAGTACATGACCGTCGTAAACTGTAGTAACTCTGACGTATTTTCATTAGCAGATTTGATCTTTACAGAACTGAAAAACGGCCGGCACTACCAGTGCGCATGCTATCTTGCACCGGTACGCATAGTGCCACATTTTTCCAGTCACCGTTTTGTTATCTACGATTGATTCCACTATGTTTTACTCGGACTTTTCTTCGAGAACATAGTGTAATCAAATTTTAATGCATTCGTCGAACAGACAATGCTTTTGTCTATTTTATAATCTCTATCTGAAAAGGAAAAATAAGTATGAATTAGAGAGTAAGGTAGTAAATTCGAAGTACGTACACAGTAAATTCAGCTCTCTATTCCTTTATCTAAATAGGTCTCATTTTCACTAGTTTAGTAAAGTGCCTTATATAATAGACACTGTTTTCAGTCTCGTTTAAAATGAGAAAAAAACGTTGGTATCATCAATGATATATGTGGCGAGAGTGTATATGTATATATATATATACATTTATATCACGTAGATAAGCACGTGGAGCAATCTATCGTTTCGAACATTTTTCTTCAAACGAAGAAACATGCTTCCATTATAAACGTATAGCTATATATATTTTTTTCTCATTTTAAACGAGACAAAAACCAGTGTTATATAAGGCACTGTATTTCTTAAAGTAAACCACTTTTATAGTCGAACTTTTTTGCAGTTTAGATCTGCTTTTGGAACCTTTTTATAGTAGAACTAAATCAGTAAAATAATCAGACAAAATAATTACAAAGTACAATTTTTCTTCATTCATTTTGGGTATCAAAACTGGGTCTTCTTTGTCATGAATGCAGCAAATATAGGGGTTTTCTCAGTGTATAGACTCAGTTAATGTTTGGTGTGTAAAGATCTCAAAATAAAACTGCACAGAGATGAGAAATGCATGAAAGGTTGATGTTATAATAATTGTGAGTATCCTCGGTGTAAGATCGCTTTGCCGTTAGTGACTGTTAGGATGTAGCGATGATCAGTTCGGTTCTGTTTGACGCACGGAGGATTGGGGCTCAGCCATTCCGCCTCATTCACAGAATATTGGATGGGCTCTAATAACGAACTGATCCTAGCGATAATATCTACGGATATACATTCTCTGAAAGTCCAAGCGTGAATGTTTTCTTCACATATGGCAAACGTTACCTTACGGTAAAAATCACAGGCGAACTATAAAACATCTAACCGCTCTCACTTTTATTCTGAGATCAAATGCCACTTATATGGCAAACCATAATTGAGAAATACATGAGAAAAAACTATTAATATGGTTCTTATGATAAGGGGGTGTTAATAAAACGATTATGTACAAGTTTTGATCTCAACTTCAAAGTGAGTCTGAGGTGAATGGTTCACCCTGATTGCATTCTATTCCTGAAGAGAAAACCGAGTAAAATATGGTGAAATCAGCGTCTCAACTATCTTAAGAAACATTCCTCTTAAGAGATCCTTTTATGTCAAAAGTTGTTTTTCATTCTTTTTTATGATATATGTGGACTTAGTTAATCTGCGAAAGAGATGTGTCTCAAAGGAGACTTGTTCAAAAATCCGATAGTGTAACACTGTAACTAGTGAAAATGAGACCTATTCAGATAAGGGAATAGAGAGCTGAATTTACTGTGTACGTACTTCGAATTTACTACCTTACTCTTTAATTCATACTGATTTTTCCTTTTCAGATAGAGATTATAAAATAGACAAGAGCATTGTCTGTTCGACGAATGCATTAAAATTTGATTACACTATGTTCTCGAAGAAAAGTCCGAGTAAAACATAGTGGAATCAATCGTAGATAACAAAAGGGTGACTGGATTAGCAATTTAAATTAGCAGTATACGACGAAAAACGACCGTATATGACGTTTTACGACATCGTATTTTGACGTATCCCATCGTAAACGGTCGCATCCATTCCAGACAAAATACGACGTCGTAATCCTTCTCCACGATGGACGTCATCGTATTTCGTCGTAAACAATGTCGTATTTTGACGTATACTACAATATCCATCATCGTAAACTGCAGTATCATTCACCGTAAACTGTAGTATACGGTTGTCGTAATCATCGTCCTGGGCACAAGTATCTAATGCTGTTATTTTTAAACGGCATGAAATTTACCGTATTTGTACCTGTTGGACATAATTTTTGGCAAATTGAAACTACAAAAACCAGTATGTATTTATTCATGAATTGTGATTTAAGATGGTAAATCAGGTTCATTGTCGATTAAATCCTAATGCGCGCTCTTCGGTAATCGACTTAGTTCCAGTTTCTGTTTTAGGCGGTTGGTAAAGAAATTCGATTGTTTGAAATTTGGATTGTTTTGTTGCATTTTGTTTGAATTCTAAGAAAAATTTCAAGTCTATCCGCCACCTCCCCGACACTTACTATAGAGTTTATGTGTGTCAGTTCGAATTCTATTCAAAGAAGCGTTGATTCTACCGTTTACAACAACTAGTAATACTACAACTTGGATACTGGACCATTGGTATCATTAATGCAGCTTTGGCCTATCACATACTTTCGACCTATCAACCTGTTGACTCCACTCCGCCTTTGCGAGAGCAAAGTGTCACACAGCGTCGTATGTTGCATTCTCTGATCAACCTGTTACTTTACGTCGCCGCAACAAGAGTATCAGTGTCACACAAGCGGGGCGGGGCTAATCCCAATAAGAACTCAAAATATGTACATGTTTGTATTTGCTGTGGTTATTTTTTAAATTTCGTGAGAAGTTATCTGCCCAGTAAAGAGCATGAATGTTCTCTTTCATTCAGAAAAAGTACTGACTATAGATTAGCTCGTGAAAAAACACATATCAGGATGGTAAATGTGCGTATCCATGTAACTTAACAAACGAGAGAGAAAAATTTTATAACACCAATTTTAGATTGATTCACCGTAAACCTGTATTAGCAAATGTGCGTATCTCTAATTGAACAAAATGCCATCATTGCTCCGCTCATCGTTTTATTAAAATAAATAGTAGAAGACATAAATGAATCATTTTATACAAAAAATGAATGGAAAGGAAGATCATACAATCAGGAATTTGTTCATAAAATCATCACTTGATTATATAATAATTTATTACGCAAACATATTTATTAATCATTGTTTTCTGAATCAGATTGACGGATTTTTTTGGCTACTTTCGCTAAGACGAGACCACCCAATACACCTAATAGAGCAGCACCAGCAGGTTTCAAATACTTTTCGAAATCGAATCCATTGTCATCATCCTTTCGGATTTGTTGTATACGATCACGAATTTGTTCCGAATAACCTGGTGGACGATTTGGAGGTGCATAATTGGCACCAAATCGGCGTTCAATAATATCACGAACAATAAAATTACTTGGTAGTGTATCAACATTATTATTAATCAAATTTGATGGTTGACGACATTGAGGGCATTGAATTTGATTTGATGATGAAAATAATCGTGCATTTGTTCGTTGATAATTGATCAAACAATCCGCTATAAACAAAAGAGAAAAATTTAACACAAACACTATTATTTAAAAGTTCTGTTTTGTACCGCAAAAAGTATGCTGACAATCCAACACTTTTGGATCACGAAATGTTTGTAGACTAAAAAGTAAACAGATATACTAGTCATATGTCACTAGATGATCTCTTAATTTGATTACCAGATTGGGCAATCAAGAAGATCGTCAATAGATGATGATGAGGGAGGAGCAGATGGTTGAACATTTGAGGAAGCCATTTTCTGGAAAAATAAGAAAAGAGAAAACATTGATATTCACTACATTTTATATTGACGAACAAGTGCTTACTTTAATCAATACTAAAAAATTACAGTGCAAAAATATGGTTTGTTTTTATCTTGTTAAGAGTTTGAATTTTGGATCTAAAATACAAAATAACATTATCTGAATATTCAAATTAATCACAACCAGACGTAGAAATTATACTCTTCGTCTAAAGTAAAGGTTCAAAAACTGATTTCTTATTCAAGTAAATATTTCAGAAGAAACCAACTGAAATGAACTCTTATCTAATATAATTTATTTTACTAAATCATTATTACAACAACACAATCACTTGAAAAATGCAGAAAATTGAAATTGTCACTTTTTTCAGATCAAACGGCAATGGAGCACACTTATATCTGACCAAAAACTAGATGACAGTCCGAATATACATAAACTATATACAAGATGCACAATACTTTGTTATATTGCTAAAAGTGGGAGATATTTTGCTTGAGTACAGTTTTTTAGCAACTAAAAAAAAAAAATTAAGGTTCGAGCGAGGTTCGAACTCGCGGCCTTCTGCGTGTAAAGCAGACGTGATAACCGCTACACCACCGAACCACGAGTAAACGCTGTTTAAAAGATTTGTAAAAACTAAAACTAATACTCAAATCTAAAGTTACAAGCTGCTTAGCATTTCAGATCTAAACCAACGATTTATTCATTATTTTGTTCTTGCGGTTTGCCTAGCAAACTCGTTAATTCATGGCGAGCATTTTTAAACAATGTATTAAAATCATTAGCAACAGCTTGTGGTGAACTATTCATCACAAAACGCCGCATGGCACTAAACGGTTTTGGTGAATTGTTTCGTGCATGTTGTTGCTGTTGTTGCTGCTGTTGTTGTTGTTGATTATTCATTGTATGAGAAGATCGAAAATTGTTATTATTATCCGATATTGCGTCCTCAGTTATTGTTGAGAAACTACGGCTCTCTCTTATTAGAGAAGGTTGATTCGTATAATCGAGAGTCGCCGATTTAACTAGAGATGACGTTAAATTTGAAGACTTCTGGATGTTCGGCTATATGATAATTAAATCAAATCAGAAAGTAATCACTCCATGAGCAGCATCAGAGCTAATAAACAATTATTTGTACTTACTGTAGTTGACTCAATGCCGTCTTCTTCTTCTTCGCCCGCACTTTCCAATGAATTTTGTTGAGTTAAATTAATATCGACCACTAAAGCATAAAACTGCAAATACTGCAAATCAATAGGAAGAAAAGGCCCGAATTTGAGAAAATTGTCTATCGCTTATAGGCTATTATATAACCCGTACAGTATAATATATAAGAAAGCTATATGAGGAAGCCTCAGTCAAGAAAATGTAATTTGTTGTTCTTCGCAACAAAACTCATGAATGTACTGAGTAATGTCGAAAGTAAAAATGTCGAAAACTAAGAATGTCGAAAAGTTCGACGACGGCAAGGATAAAATCTTAGTAGAGTTGATGTGGTAAAAATGGTCGAATGAAAATTGGCCGAGCTGACTATATGGCATTTTCTCAATTGTTTAAAACAAGAAGTATATTTCCGTCATCAAGTAATACAATGCGAGCTGGTATTACGTTGCTGGAAGACCCAAAACAGGAAAGACAAATTGTGTACAACGTCGTATTGATACTCTTGCTGAGGCCTGTTTCTTAAAAAAACTGAAGTAGAAAATCTGACTTAAGTCAAACTTAAGTCCAAAAAAGTCTTTGTCTTTTTTGACTTAAGTAAGGTTTTCTACTTAAGTTTTTTTAAGAAACAGGCCCCTGATCGTTATACAAATGATGGAATAAATTTAGAAGAATATTTAGAAGGTTTATCACTTGTTGTTGCTAAAGATAAAACAAAAAAAATAAAAAAATGATTGATTATTAGATATTTTTTGTTAAATTACTGTTTGTGCAAAATGATTAAAAATATAGTTTCGTCATTTTTCCTTTCCCCGACAACATTATTGCCACTAAGATCTTACCCCTGCCATCTTCGAACTTTTCGACATTTTTATTTTCGACATTACTCAGGCATACCAAACTCATTAGTTTGAGGAATAGTCATCATTTATACGTACCTGAAGAAAAGGCTTCAGGATATTTCTTGCTTAGCCGTGTTTTCAGCACTCTAAAAGTAAAAAATAATATAAATGCATTATTACCACTATTTTTCGAGAGACCGATCGATAAACACATGGAAATTACATCAGATTGAATTTTCTGATACTTGATCAGAGACACAAATCTAACTACACGCACTTTACTAAAAGACAACTTCAAGAATCAGCAAATAACGAAAAAAACGCTACAATGATGTTTACTTGATTCGTTTGAATATAAGATCAAGGTCTGTTTTCATCGTTGTCAGTAATTGTATATGACTTGAATAATCTTTTGAGGCATCGGCATACCGTTTTGCTGACAATTTATTAATACCATCAAGTTTTTCATTCGTTTTATCGAGTTGTTCTAACCTAAATAAAACGCAGTGTGGAAACGATCAGCTTAATAGAATAATACTAAATTCAATACTTACATAGTGCGCTGTACAGTTAAAAGCCCATTTATATCTTGATTATTGATTTCTTTGAGAAATAATTTAGTAAATATTGCAGGTGCTGTTGGACTAGTGTCATTTGTTGAAGTTGATAAACTTGACACAGATGTATTCGTATTTTGAATAGATGATTCTGCAGACATTTGCTTAGTTTACACGATAGACTCTAAAATAAAAATCATAATCAAAATAGTTTAGCACTGAAATGCCTAAACTACACTATCAAGTCTTCGTTGTCGACCTCAAATAAGTAACATTTTTATGGTTTGACTCGTTAAGTTAGATATAATGAAAATCGTCATTTTGACAATCTGGACAATATTTAACGCGGTCCATACCAAAATTTGTTTGTTCCTGCAATGCTCGGAGACAGTTTCTAAATTGTCAGTGGTATATCTCGACCCAAAGTCTTTATAGGTTCCTTATAGCGTTTACTTAATATGATTTTGTCTTTCAGAAATTATGTAAACTATTACATACATGTGCAAGACGCTTTTTCTTTTCGCTTTTGTTGTTTGTCTTTAACAAAATGAAACCGCTTCAAGACATAGGAATAAAATATCAATATTCTCTTATTCACATTTTTAATCAAAGAGCTGATCAAGATTTTTTTATGTATTGAGAATAGCATGTATTATACGAACTATGCAGAATTGGAAGCACGGTTTCTATACGCTACAAGTGAAGTCTAGAATCAATGCTGGTTGAAAAATAACTTTTCTGACAAAATGACGCTTAGACCAATCGAAACTTACTATATATTTTTCTTTTTTCTGATAAATTTATAGTTAAAACACACTCTCTGCCTAAATGCTGGGACTGAATTTAGTTCTAGCTTATTCTAACCTATATTTGACTAAAAAGACAATCAAGTCTGTTACCTTTAAGAAGTAAAAAGTATGCTTAACTGTAAGTAGAAAAAGTTTTTTTCTTTCCGCTCTTATCAGTACAGACTATCACTACAAGCAAGAACAAGAGTGCACACTTTGAAAAATGACTTTCCCCACCTATTGCTCACTCCGACGGAAAAAAACATATTTTGTATCCTATTTTGTTTTTGCTTAACTTAACTATTAGCATATGTGCAATAACATTACATCATGTAAATAGCCGTAGTTTTCTTTGGCATATATCGATCTGTAGCTGTGTACAATTGTTTATTCTAGTATTTCTCGTGGTTTTTGTTTTTGCTCAGTAGATGTGCAGATATTTTCTCTTTCATAAAATCAGACTTTCAGGCTTTTATACTGTATTTTTACCTTAAACAGATTAAACGCAGCTGATTGCATTCTGGAAGTGAAAGTGCGAAAACTAGAGCTGCGAGACAGCAAAAAAGACTTTCTAAAAAGATTTTGTGTTGACTTTACCCACTTTGTGTTTCAGAACAAACTAGAAAACCCACTTTGACATTCAGAGCAAATTGCAAAATTCCATTCTGGAAAAAGTTCTTATTGAAAACGTGAAACACCTGACTTCTGCTTCTGCTGATAGATGGTTGAAGCGTCGACCAATCAATACAGCCAAGTTTGTTGATGAGCGCAAGTGTAGATGGTGTCGCTCTGAAGCTAAATCTAAAAGAAAATAAACGACAAAGATCTGATTTCGATAGTCACAGTGGATAAGATAGATGTGAGTTGATCAACCTGTTTCTCCTTGTACTTCTTATCGTTATGACTTCAAACAAGCCCAGTGGTCGAATTACGAGTTTTCTTTCTCTTATACCTGGTGTCTTTACACGACCATGAATGCGGATACGGCCGTCCACATTTTGACTGAGTATGTAAACGATGTTGTCCGTAGATTTGTTCCAGTGCTGCCTGTTCGTACTCTACCTTCTCTTTTTTTCCTTCTCCAGAACTTGTGTATCTTATTTCAATACGCAACCGACGCTTGCGTGAACTTAAACGGCGCTACACTTCGTCTAACCTTACTGAATTGCGTAAGACAACGAATTTTGCTGCCCCTTTACCGTCGTGAAAAATCTTCTTGTCTCCGTTCACTATCCTCTTTGTTTTCCGATCCTTGCAAGTTCTGGACCTCTATCAAAATGATCTTCTACACTGTTAAAAATCTGTGTTCTTCAGAAAACAAAAAAAACGATCTTCATTTGTCCCCTATAGAGATCACGTATGTGTTTGCTGAAGATTTGTATAACAAGATTTTTCAGAAACTGAACAACAAAATTTTTGTTCTTTAGGTTTTTGATCTCTATAGGGGACAATTGTTCTTCAGAAAACATGAATTTCAGGAACTACTAAGAATCTGAAGAACATGAACGATTAAAGTCGCATTTGCTGGAGAACAAAAATTTTGTTCTTCAGTTTTTTAGATTTGTATAGGGGATAATTGTACTCTGAAGGACACATTTCTTGTTCTCTCAAGAACAAATAATCCATCAAGTACAGGGTGTTGTAAACAACGGCTTGTTAATGGACCGTTTAGTCAGAGCTGTAAATTGCGAAGTTGGGTGCAACTCGCCAGTTTGTCTTTTCCTCTCAGCGGAAATTAAAATTTTTTTCTTATCTCATATCTTGTGACAAGCATTCGTAGTTTTATTCATTTTTCATGTATTACTAGCGATTAACCGCAATTAATTGACGATTTTTTCTAGGTACTAGGTTCGAATCTATCTTAGGAAATACATATTTTTTTCTGTTTTTTCATTGTTTATTACGTATAATGACATGTGCGTCACACAGCAATGGTCTTAGCACCAGCTGGCGTCGGAGTCTTGCCGACGAGTCAGCTTTAAACA